CAAACCGAGGCAATATCGTGGACACGCCGGAGAAGAGCCGACTATCGCAATCATTGCCGCGTCGCCGACATCGCTCCCACCATCATCGTTGCCACAGAAGTCTGGACGCCATAGTGATTTTCTCGGGGCCGCCGCCCCGACATCCACCGCTCCGTCGCGCCCAGCGCAATTAACCGGCACCACCTTCCGGGGCCGCCGCCCCAACGTACCACCGCTCCGCTCGAGCAGCAACGTCGTGCGACCCAGCTACCTGCAGCCCACGCTGCTCAGGGCAACCGCTCGCAGACCACGAACGTCGCATCACATCCGGGGTCGCCGCCCTGACGCAAAGTCAGACCGCCCCCTCTGAAACGCGTCGACCGGACCGACAAGCCTGCCACCCAAGTGGCCCAAGATTGCCACCCAAGTAAAGGCCGAGCCACCGCCCCGCCCCATGGAGCCGCACCGCGCATCACTTTCCGAGGCCGCCGCCTCGGCGTTCATCAGTCGTCCGGGGCCGCTGCCCCGACATCCACCAAACCCGACGTAGGAGAAAACCAAACGCACCAAGCACAAGCTAACTCTCCCAAGCAACGCCCTCAAGAGGGAAACGATGAAGGCGCCGCCGTCGCCCGCTTCGGAAAATTTGGAGCTTAGGTTTTCACCCGGAGAACACGAGCCCCACATAGAAGAAGATGAGTTCCACAATGATGCCTCCAAGGAGGGAAACGACGCCTGAAAGCGCCGCCGTCGACGGCACCGACAAAGTCGGGTCAAGGCTTTCGCCCGGAACATACACATCCCTATGGAGGCCCGCAGATCTGATCCACCTAAAAGCGTGGAGATCATTAGAGCCGTTCCTGTTGCGCCTTGCACTCTCCAACGCCGACCACCAAGCTTCACCGCGCAGCACCCTCAGCAGCAGCACCTCAAACTACGAATGAAACGCCATGGCTTCCTCCTCGCGTCACGCCCGCCTGACGAGCTTCCCTGCCCGGTGCCTCCCGAGCCGAACCACCTCCCGCCCACGCGCCCGACTTGTGCCGCACACAACGCACAGACCGCGCGAGACGCCCGCCCGCACGCATCCGCGCCTCCCCTTGACGGCGCCCCTGCTGGAGCGCCAGATCCCGCGCCCCCTCGGACTGCCCGCGCCGGAGCGAGCCCCCCGCCGCGCCGCGACACCCCTCGGACCGCCGGAGCCTCACCAGCCCGAGCCAGAGTCGCGACCGCGATCCCGCCCAAGCTTGCCGCGCCTGCGCGCCTCGCAGAGAGATGCCCCGCCGCCACCCTCCCTGGAGCC